TTGCTGGTTGGGAAATGCAGCCCTGCAGGGGTGGGATGACTTGCTGCCTGCCTGGGATTCAGGCCCCCTTAGAAGCCTATGCTGGGGCTCCCACCTAGGACAGCAAGTGGGCTGGGACTGTGTCTGCCCCCAGTGCCCGGCACTGGCTTCCCTGCTCTACCCACGTCCATCCCGGGCAAGTGCCTGGCCTCTGTACCAGACACTGCAGGTAGGAGAGGTGGTGTCAGCTCCTGGGGGCTGTGTGCAACTCAGCCTGGGCAGGATGGGTGCAGTGCGGGCAGAGGCTCAGATCTTTCCTTGGCCATCCTGATCCAGGGCTGAGGCCCCACCCCTGTTGTGCTCAGTCTTCCCAGGCTGAGTCACGCAGAACCACCAGGAGCTGACACCACCTTTCCCACCTGCAGCGTCTGGTACGGAGGCCAGGCACTTGCCCAGGATGGAGGTGGGTGGAGCAGGGAAAGCTGTGGCAGGCACTGGGGGCAGACACAATCCCTGCTGTCCTGGGTGGGAGCCCCAGCACAGGCTTCTAAGGGCACCTGAATCCTGGATGGGTAGTATGGCATTCCACTTCTGCAGGGCTGCATTACCTAGCCAGCAAACCTTTCCCAAAGGAAAGGCGCAGGGGAGCCACTAGCAAAGGTCCTTCCTGCACTGCACTGCCTCCTTCCTTTGCAGGGAGTTGTGGGGGGCCCTGTCCCTTGTGCTTTGACAGGAACCCTCACACCTCCTGCCCCCTCTGCTGACTTACCGCGTATGGACAGGGACCACTGCTGCCAGAACTGCTGCTCCAGCTCCAGAGTCTGCACCTTGGAGAACAGCACTCTCCACTTGGCAGTGCCTGGCAGTAGCGCAGGTCCCCACAGGTTTGGCTCTGACATGCTCTCATCCAATGCTGGGGAGGTAGGAACATGGGGAAGGGGTTAGAGCCAGGGCCAGAGCCGGGGCCAGGTTGACCACAACTGTGGGGGGGAGGGGGGGACTGGAGGCTCCCACCCCTTTGGCCAGCGCTGGGCTGCAACACCCAGCTACTCTGCTGCAGCCTCCTGGGGACTGTCCAGGGTGCTGACCAGGGCAGGCTGCTCAGAGAGCTGTGTTAAGGTGCCTTATCGAGTCCATATGTAGATGCATGCTTAAATCACCTTAATGCACCTCAGGTTAAGGTGCATTAAGTTTAGGTGCATGTGAAGTCATGTGTAGACATACCCATAGAAGACAAACCAAGCATAAAGGGCCTTACAGTTTGATGGTGCCCAGAGTGTGCCTGCTATTTCCTGTTATCATTAGAAGCCATGACCCCTGCTACAGAAGGCTTACAAAGTAAGCCCTCCTATTCTTGCATAAGGCCTCAGATCTGTGCATCTATATAGATGCCAAATGAAGTCAATGGAAGACTGCACAGATGCTGGGTTCCATGTTGAGAGACCCTGATGCATGTCGGGGACCTAATTTTTTACAACATTTACTCCGGGTCTTATTCATTAATATTTAATGAGGAGAGTAGAAGAAACAGAGAATCATAGAGAAGTAGAGCTAGAAGGGATATCCAGTGATCATCTAGACCAACACCTTGCCTGAGGCAGGATCATCCCTATGCAAACCATCCCATACAATCCATGAGAGTTGGGATCAGTTTAATGCAATTGTTCAGGCAGTACATAATGAGGGAGAATTATTTTTCGACAAATAAATAATTAACTAAACAGAAGATAATCCATATACTGTAGTTTTGTAGGTGTTGCAGAGGAAGCATGTATTCAGGGTTTTCTATGTTCAGGGATAAAATGCTTGGTACTACTCTAGCTGAAATCGATGGAAATTCTACCATTTACTTAGTTTTGAAGGATCAAATCTAAAGAAAGGAGTATTTTACTGGAAAGAAAAGGGCAGATGATCTTGATTTTTCTCAAATGTATGCCACCAATCAGATGTAGTGAAGCATGGGTTTCTTCTGCTAATGTGGATTTTTCTAATAAAAAAGTGATCTCAATCAAGTACTTTGCAAAACTAAGTTAAATACCATCGGAAATATATCTGTTTTAGGACATGGGATCCACTCAGAAATTCTTTGAAAAACTGAATAAAATCAAAATATTTGATCTCTTCGTGTGGTGGAATTTGATTAAGATTTACTGGCTTTTACTACAGTTTTCAAATTGACAGGCCCTACTAAAGCTAAAAATGGAATTCATATGCAAAACTTGCATGGTTATGTTTGTTATTAACATTGTCTTCCCTAAAAATATGTATATGTTATTTAAATAAGGGATAAACAAGTTAAATGTTGATCTGCCTAGTTAAGAAAGTTATATGATGTGTTCTTTTCCTCTTATTATAAAGATTGTGAATTTAGGTATATATGTTGAGGAGTTTGTGGTTACTTTAAATCTAATACACTGCACTTACACCATTTTTCTTCAATGCTCTGCTCTTTTCATATAAAGTTCTGTGTTCCTGGCCAATTTATGGCCAGACTTATCCAATAAACAAGTTTGTAGGAAAGCATTTATAGATTGTTAGGAATATGTGTGGTGCCTGTACTTTTCTCAGCAATAATGTAGTGCCTTACTTCTATTGGTTTTCTTAAATGATAATGCAAAAATTATGATGAGAAAATAAGTAATTTGTATAAATCAAGACTAATTCTGCAAATGCCCACTAATGACGGAGATGTATAAGCCAAAGCTTTAAAAATGACTAATGACTATGGGTTCTTAACTTGCGGTATTCAATTTAAAATACTTTAAAAAGGTTTAATTTTCAAAGGTTGGGTACTCAGTACTTTTTGAAAATCAGGATGATTTTCAATATCTCAAGTTAGCTCAAAATCACTAGTCATTTTTAAAAATCTTCACAGAGTTTGTCATATTAATTAGTAAGTGAACAAATTTAATGGAAAGGGGGAGGATTTTTAACAGAAACAATTTTGTTAATTTATGTATTTGTGTTATTTAGTATATTATGTTGTATAACTCTATAAGTATATTATTAATGTATTTTAATGTATTGCAGGAGTATCTAAGGGCCCCAGTCATTGTCCAGAACTGCAATGTGTTGGTATCATGCCATTCAAACACAGGACAAAGAAGCTAATCCTTACCACAAAGACCAGGTACAGACATTACACTTTTACTGGTATAAGCAATTAAAAGGGAACCCAGTTTTCTCTGTTAAAAAAATCCAGGATTCTCTGATTTAAAACCACAAAATCTGCATTTTTCCGTGGTTAAAATGAAATGCCACACTATATATACGTATCATTTGAACACAATGTTTTATTCATATAGTTATAATTTTAAAGCAATTTGAAAGTCTACCAGTGCCTCAATCATTATAATAAAATAAATTCTAAATACCTATGTATTTTGGTGTTTGATTTTGGTTTTATTATCATTGAAAATCAGAGCTCGCCCTGCTTCCTTCACTCACCAGGACATGGGTCCAACTACAATTGTCCACCCCACTGCTTTGTGGTGCTAAGCAGCCCTGATATGCTGGTGCCCCTTACTCCCAAGACACAGCCCCCACAGTCCTGCCAGTGTCACCCACCCCTCCCTGCCCTGCCACCATCAGCCCCACCAGCATAACCTGTAGGCAGAGCTGGCCTTAGGGGTGGACAGTGAGGGCAACTGCCCAGGGCACCAAGGTGTGTGTGGGGTATCAAGGCATGCCAGGGCAGAGCTCCACCTCAGCTTGGGCAGGGGTAGAAGAGGAGGTAGCAAGCTGGGGGTGCCCCTCATTCCTGACCCATAGACTCCTGGCCTCCCAGCCCTGCCAGAGGGGTCCCCTAGCTTTCCCCCACCCCCAAGCCCCAGCCCCAATGTGTGGGGCAGAGGGTGAGTGTGTGGGGCAGCGGAGGTGTGTGGGAAGCGGGGGGTGCATGGGGCAGGAACGGTGTGAGGTGGGGGGTGGTTCCAGAGCGTGGCCCCCGCCCCAGTGTTGCAGGGCTGATCTGGACCCCCCCCCCACCCCACTGCAATGGTGTGGGGCTGGTCGGGGCCATCAGGGGCAAAGCACAAACCAGCCCTGCACCATTGGGGGAGAGGGGCAATGGCACAGGGGCAGTCTGGGTACATCCACTGGCAATATGTCAGGACAAATATGGTGGGGGCAAGTGTCCCCTCGAGGGCACCTGGCCCAGCAGGCAGGGATGTAGCATGTTCTCCCTTCCTCCCTCACTGAGTCACCACCACCACCTCAAGCTTGGTGCTGTGGGGTGCAGGGCATAGGGCTGCAGCCCAGTTGGATCCAAACATTTCCAGCAACGTGGCTGTAACGGTGCAGAGTTATGCCCCCCAGTGCACCCCCCCATGCATCACCTATGCTCCCCCATCCTCCATAGACTTACCTGCAGGCAGCTGCAGAAGCTGTTCCCATCACTCTGCCTGGCTGTATTGCTGGTCACATGTGTGTACATGTGCACATGCACATAGGGCCTCTGCCTCCGATTGCCCTGCTTCACCCTCCCAGTCCCAAGCAGCTCCTTACAGGCTGGAAGTCTGCCAGCCTGTGAGGGCAATCTTGTAGTTTCCTACTTCAAAGGGGAAAATCCACGTTTTTCCATGGGAAATGGAAAACCTGGATCCTTGGTGATCAGAAACCAGTCTATACCTGTAACAGAACCGAAGTTCAGCACACATAAAACTGGTTTAAAGATGGCAGAACCCAGTCTAAGATTTGTTCCCCCTCCCACCCTTCACCAAAAGTCAAATATGTGTTCTGTTTGCTACAGATCTAAACTACACTGCTTACAGAAAACTGTGTAACTTAAACTGATTCCACCTCAGGCTTTTTGAATGTCTGTACCTAGTCAAAATGTTTATATATAAGAGCTCAAGCAAAAAGCTTCATTTTAAGAAAAGAAACAATTTAGAGATAGAAGAATATAAGGACATTACTGTACACAACATGGGTCAATTAATAGTTTTGTAAGTATTGATGTTTTATTTGTAGGATCTCACTAGTACATTAGATTTCTCTAGTGTATATTTCACTTGTGTTAGCTCTTTGCTGAAGAACAAGAGAGACTACTACAGGTCAATCGCATCTTACGCGGGGGTTATGTTCTAAAGGCAGCGCGTAAGGCGAAAATCGCGTATAGTAAAATCGCGTATTACCATGCCAGCGGTGACTGTACCTTTTCTGTGTGCAAATGATTGGGTAGGCTAGTAAAGTGAGAATTAGTGAGGTTTTGCTGTATGCCACACATATTTTCAGAATTAATACACATCTTGGATTTAACAAAAAAAAGCATGTGTATGTGAAGAACAAGATTGTTTTCCACAAAGAACCGAAGTCACTGAGAATGTGTATGTGAGAATGTGTATGACAATTGTTTATATTTCTCTGGTGTGAAAGGAGTAACAATGTTCACTACTGATAAATGTACACATTTCTTTAAAGAATAACTCAGACTTAACAACAATACATATTTTGCCTTAATGTGACCTCCTTAAACTTTGTCAACACTTTATTTTTATCCACTTATATTATTACCTTTCCTAGTAACCTCCCTTAGTCTCAGTTGGACTCAATGACATGCAGTGTTTGTGCTGAAAAATGAGTCAGAGATGCCCATTCGATTCCAGCAATTCTGGTTTATTTTGCCTAAGGAAATGACAGTTCCTCTTAGATGCTATTTTTTCCCTATCCACCCAGTACTCTTTCATTTCTTAGAACACTTCCTGGTTCTTATATTTTGGTAGCTGAACCTAATAGAAATTACAAATGAGATATTATAGCAAGACTGCTATATTTCTCCTGTAAAAGTGAGATTCATTATCTTTAAAATGAACCCTGACTTTTGCCAACCTAAACCTAAGTAAGATAGGTGGCAATGACACATTTTGCTAGGACATTTAGCCCTGCCCAACATATTTAAAAACATTCAAGGTTCCACAAGTCTTAGCATTATCTAAATTTCTATGAGTAACTCAAATAGGCACGAACTGACTCTCAGCCCCAACATTTGAAATCCATACTTGGTAATCAGATCAGGGTTCAAATTGAAAACATATGCAAAGGAAATTCTCCTTCTTGTAAATCTTCTACTTGTATTTAATAAGATAGTTTATATTACAAATAGAAAAACTTTTTACCTTCAGCAGGCCTTAATTCAGGCTCTGTCTGGCACATACAAAATATATGAACATGTCTACACACGCATTAATGCACATTTTCTAATGTACATTAAATTTAGTACTTCCAATGTGAGGTACTAAATAAATGCGCATTAGGCTGCCCTAATGTGCAGTAGTGAAAGCGCATGCTTTTTAGTAATGCTTAATGTGCAGTAGCCTATTTTACTGCACACTAGCATATTTGCATGTTTTTATGTGATGTTTTAATGTGCAGTAAAATAGGCTACTGTGCCTTAAAGCACACGTGTAGACATGCCCTATATATGGTAAGAGTTTAATCTTGTAAGCCAGGGGTTGTCAACTGGAGGTCTGTGTACCCCTGGGGGTACTTTGAAAGGTCCCAGGGGTATGTGGGACCAGGTGGGAGTGGAGCACTGCCACCCTGTGTCGCTGCCTCATAGGAACAGGGCCGGGGTGGGGCAAGAGCAGGGCTGCACAGACCCTGTGCTGCCACTGCTTCGCCACTCACCACGACCCCACTCCACATCCGGCTGCTCAGCACTCCCCTCCTGCCCCGGGGGTACACTTACTAAAAAGGGGGCTGCTGGGGGTACACTTATTATAAAAGGTTGAAAACCCCTGTGGTAAGCCCTCCAGATGTGTAACTCGCATTGTAAGTGAAAGGATTGCAAATTCAGTTCCTAAATTATTCAAAACTTTAAACAGTAACAGTTGTTATACATTAAAAAGTTCTAAAGAAGAGCATATTTCTGAATTTTACATTCTCTAAAAGCATATCAGGGTGTGTGGAAAGACAAACAGAAGCCATGCATCAAAATACAAACACAGAATAACCAGTTACTGTCCTTCAGCTTGTATAATATAAATTTGCTTTTAAGGAGAGTTCCAATATTTTTTTTATCTTTTACTGAATGAAGCACACAGATACTTTCACATGTGGCTCTTATTATGCAAATTGCTTTATAAGCCTGCTATTTACCATGATTATATGAATTACGAACTGTGGTTTTATTTCGTTTATAATCTTTGTAGTTCTTGCTATTACTTTTACATGTCTATGTCTGGCAGTATACAGCTTTGAAACTGTGCCAAAAAATATTTATTGTCCTATTTCTGGCATTCAGGTACTACACGGCTCCATTTGGTTTCCACCCAGATAAAGCTTATTAGTAGATTCAGTTCTCTGTATACTGCTGAAAGCAATTCTACATCTAAGTTTTGCACTACATTTAAAAGCAGCCTTTTGTACTCTATGAAACCAGTATGTAATGTAGAACTCTTACTGTTTATTTCCTTTCTGTTTTGAACAGTTTATGCACTAATTAGTCCTTTCCTTCTCATTGCCTATCTCCTTCAGCTTGACTAATAAGAAGGCATTAAAATGCAGGCAGGTTGAAAAAATGGAGACCTTGTTTCTGCACTTGTCTCTGCAACTATCCTTAATCGGAGTTAACATGTTGCACCCTGTATGTAGCAAGGACAGTACATTCACAAGTGCCTACTAAATCATGTTTACTTGCATCCAGAATTGGTTATCATTAATCAAGTAAAAATCCTACTGGGGTCAGTAGGAGTTTCACTTAGTGTATAATTTGGCCCTTAGTTTATTTGTTAGTTTTCACTTTAGTTGGCCCAGCACAGCCAAATTCAAAGAGCTAATAGGAAGCAATCTTTATTTTATTTGGCTTCAGGCAAATACACTTTAATGAGACTTAAGCAAATGCTTAAGCACTTGACTGAATAGGGCTATTTTGCTGAATCAGAGCTCAAATTCTAACTGAAGAATAAACATTCTGCTATATGGAGCAAAAAATAAAGATTTTTAGAGACCAAGTGTAGCTCAACTATTGGCAGTAAGAAAATTATGTTTTTGTTAAAATTCATAGAATCGTAGAATCATAGAACATTGGGTTTGGAAAGGAACTCAGGATATTATTTATCATTTCTCAATCTATGGGTTGTGACCCAAAAGTGGGTTGCAAGAATAGATGAAATGGTCACAAAGAAACATTAAAAATGGATCATACTTTGCATAGATTTTTGAAAAAAATAGATGCTGCTTGTGCTTCACAATATGTTAGCGCTGTGCATACTAAAACAGGATCTGGGTTTTCTGTTTGCTGTGGAAAAATGAATATTTTCTCCTTTAAGGGAGAAAAATGTGGGAAACCAAGGGTTTCCCCTTGCAGGCTGGCAGAGTTCTAGCCTGCAAGGGGCTGCTTGGGACTGGAGGCAGCAGGAGGAGTGTGATCAGGTAGGGGGTGCCATGTGCATGTGTATACATGCATATAGCAACCAGGCAGCATGGAGAGCAGCTCCCACAGCTCCCCACAAGTAAGTCTCTGGGACAGTGGGGGGCATAGATGATGCGTGGGAGGGTGGGGAGGCACAGGTGATCCAATGGGTAGGCATTGGGGTGTCCCCTCAGATTTGTGCACCCACAGCAGGCACAGGGCTGTAGCCAGGCTGAGCTGGCATGGGCAGGAGCTGCCTCCATAGCCCAATGAGCAGGACCCAGCATGGGAGCACAGAGCAGGGCAGCAAGACTTGCTGCTGCCACCACTGCTACTGGGACATCCATGCCACCAGCAGCATGAGGAGTAATGGGTGGAGGGGGCTGCACTGCCCTTGCCTTCTCCTGCCGCCAGCTGCTCATGCACCGGACTGCAGCTTTACCCCACTGACATGGCCCAGCTGCTGCCACTGCCACTACCCTCATGTCACCTCCAGAGTGGGACTGCAGCCTGAGGGGAGCAGTGGCAGCCAGGCCATGACAGTGGGGTACAGCTGCTGTTGCAGTCAAAAGCAGGATTCAAACCTAGTGCAGTTAAGGATTGACATGACACCTCATTCGATTAATGACAGAAAGGCTTTAATAATAATACCATACATGAGCTATAAAACTAAATGACAGAAAAAGACTCCTTCCCAATATTCAGTAAATGAGCTATCACAAAAGTCCTAGTATATGCTAGCTGCAAAAGTGTCTCACCAATGCAGGCAGGAAGTGGTTTCCATCTTGTCAGCCTTAATGGAGCATAGATCTGTTGACCAGGAGTGATCAGCTGGGTGCAGAATGACTTTTCTCTCTCTCCTGGAGTGCACACCTTGCTGGCAACTCTGTTCTATTCTTATGTTGCTCAATTGTATAGCTTCAAAGCATTCCTCTGTGATAGTTGGTTGATCACTCGCATTGTGATTTAGTTGGTTAAATCTAACCTCTGTGATTCCTCTGTGATTTAGTTGGTTAAAGTTTGAACAAAGGAGGTAGGAAATGTGGCAGGGCACAAATGGTGCCTGCCACTTTAAGAGGATCCAACAGGCTGCAGAGCAGGCAGCCTGAGGCCCAATTAGGCAGTCAGCTGATGACTAGGAGGCTGCCTGGTTGGAGGAGGCCTGGGCAGTCAGAGTATAAACTCAGACCCAGGAGCAGGGTTGCCAGTTGCAACTGGGGAGCGGAAGGATTAACATAACCTGGCCTGAGGACTGCTGCTCTGGTAACACTGGGAGGTTAGGATAGGAACTATAAGGATGGAGGAGGTACCTGTTGGCCCTGAGTAAGACCTGAAACTATACCCTCCTGGGTTGGATGGTGTGGTGGGGCTGCCTGTGGTGGGGCAGTCTCCAGGGAATGCCACACCTGTGTCTCCCCAGTGAAAGGTGAGGATGGGGAGCCAGAATGCCCCAGCCCTCACTGCTTTATGGGTACCCTGTGGATGGGAAAGACTAGGGGAGCATACCCTGATGGAAAAGCACCGGGCCCTGGTCCGCTGAGGGGGGCCTGACGCAGAGTCCAGGTCTATTGGGTGGGGCCTGAGACAGGGCCAGGGTCCACTGTAGGGGACTGGGGGCCCAAGATAAGAGTGTGGCCCAGTGAGGGGTGGAAAAATGTGACCCAGAGAAGGGGTCAGAAGGCCAAGGCCCACAGAGTGGGGCCTGAGGCCAAGTTTGGCTGAGGACACCAGGGCTGCAAGAAAGGCAGCCTCCTGCATTTTCATCCATTTACATCAAGGCATGGCAGATGAGCGAGGGCAGACTGCCCTAGACAATGGATG